TTTTTGTTTGTTTGTTTGTCTGAGACAGAGTCTCGCTCTGTCACCCAGGCTGGAGTGCAGTGGCACAACTCACTGCAACCTCTGCCTTCTGAGTTCAGGTGATTCTCCTGCCTCAGCCTCCCGAACAGCTGGGACTACTGGTGTGTGCCACCACGCCCAGCTTATCTTTGTAGTTTTAATACAGAAGGGGTTTCACCATGTTGGCCAGGATAGTCTCGATCTCTTGACCTCTTATGGGTGACATGCACCTGTAATACCAGCTACTCGGAAGGCTGAGGCAGGAGAACTGCTTGAACCTAAGAGGCAGAGGTTGCAGTGAGCCAAGATTGCGCACAAGCACTCCAGCCTGGGCAACACAGCGAGACTCCATCTCAATAAATAAATAAATAATAATTGGTCACTCACTACAACAACAAAAACAACAGTGATGAATAAATATGAACTCACAGCTAAATAGTTTGGTCAAGACCTGGAATATGTTCATAAAAAATATCTCAATTCACTTTATTATTTTCCTTCCAAATACTTTGTTCCTTATCCCCTTGATCTTTTTTGTTTGTTTGTTTTGTTTGTTTTGAGACAGTGTCCTGCTCTGTTTCCCAGGCTGGAGTGCAATGGCATGATCACAGCTCACTGCAACTTAGACCTGCTGGGTTTAAGCAACCCTCCCACCTCAGCCACTCTCCCACCACAGCTGAGAGCACAGACACATGCCATCATGCACAAATAAGTTTTACTTTTAAATTTTTTATAGAAATGAGGTCTCTCTATGTTGACCAGGCTGGTCTCAAACTCCTGCGCTCAAGCAATCCTCTGGCGTCAGCCTCCCAGAAAAATAACTTGCTTTAAATCCCCACACTAGGATCTTCAGATTGAGGAAGGAAATTTACACCAATTTCCCCCAATCAGTCAACAGATAAGGTTGCTGCATTTAACTTTAAAACTTAGACCTAATTTCTCCTCCCATGTACCATATACTGTTTTACAGAATGCTATTTCTTTTTTTTTTTTTTTTTTTTTTTT